TTCCCCCTCACTCCCCATGCTAAAGACCTAAAGCAGACTCCATCAGGAGTCTTTTTGTTATTCCAGTGGAAGGTGGAATCTTTTGGCCAGCCTATGTGGTGGCTAAGAGTTGAAATCACTCAGAGCAGAAGTCACTGGTTTGGTCTGGACCCAGACCCATTGTGGCCAGTAGGAGCAGCAGCAGGCGGTGCCAGCAGAAGAAGCATCTGGTGGAGCAAGCGGACCACAGGAACAGCACAAAGGTGGTATGGCCTCAGGCTCAATGAGTGGAGTCATTAGGGTGATATCGGGATCTACACTGACTGGACAGAGCTGTAAGTGGGGTGTTTACAGTGGTGTATGGAGAAAGTTTGGGTAAGTGAATGGAACCCTTACATTATTGGACTAGTGAGCCTGAGAGGCAAAGGACATTACACTTGAATGATGAATCCAGGTGGGAAGTTCTTTAACCCGAATGGCAGTAGGGCTTACCAGGAGAGTCTCAAAAGGGCCCAACCACTGAGGCCGAAGTGGAGTGTTTTTATACTTTTTTTTTGTTTGTTTTTTAAACCCACACAGAATTACTTTTATCACTGGAGATCACAAGGTGTATTCTTCATAATGGGATGTAATGATTTAAAAGTTTCTTTGCCACTGTGATGGCAGCAGCTTTCCTGCAGGGAATAAGCTTTTACCCATCCCAAAAACAAGCAAACAATAACCAGCACATATGCAAAAGATTGACATTTAGGCAATTGAACAAAATCCATTGTAAATTCAGAAATGGTCCCAAAGGCGGAGGTCTGGTTGCCGAAACTCTTTACAGGTCTACCCTCGTTGTGGGCTTGGCAGACAGGGCAAGCCAGACAATAATCCTTGGCTGCTTGGGAGAATTTGGGAGCAAACCAATTTTGTTTTACCTTTTCCAACGTGCGACTATTTATGGAGCACGGAGGCAAGGTGAGGTAGCAAGACCACTGGGGCAACAATGTGGCCATCAAAGCTGCACCCAGTAGTGGTCTGGGTGCAAGGTGCACCCTGCCAGTCTCCACTCCTGCTTTTTCGACTCTGGGCTTGGTTTTGCAGAGGGCCAGTTCTGAAAGAGATGGGAAAGGAGCTGGCGATCATAGGAGAGAAGGGAAAAAACAGCAGGTAGAGGAGCAGATTCCGCTACATTCCAGACAGTACAACCTGCATAGCCTGCTACTAAAAGTCCACTAGAATTATAAAAGCAAAAAACCATTTGTGTAAAGCACAAAGTTAAGATTATTTAAGGGACTTAAATTATTCTTTCATAAAACAATGTTGTACACACAACAATGTTTGAAAGACATATGTCACAATTGCAGGACAATGTAGCACTTTAAAGACTAACAAGATGGTTTATTAGATGATGAGCTTTCGTGGGCCAGACCCACTTCCTCAGATCAAATAGTGGAAGAAAGTAGTCACAGCCATATATACCAAAGGATACAATTTAAAAAAAATGAACAAATATGAAAAGGAAAAATCACATTGCAGAACAGAAGGAGGATGCGGGGGGGTGGGAAGGGTTGTATGATGAATTCAGGTGGGAAGTTCTTTAACCCGAATGGCAGTACGGCTTACCAGGAAAGTCTCAAAAGGACCAAACCACTGAGGCCGAAGTGGAGTCTTATACATTTTTACCCACACAGAATTACCTTTATCACTGGAGATCACAAGGTGTATTCTTCATAATGGGATGTAATGATTTAGAAGTTTCTTTGCCACTGTGATGGCATCAGCTTTCCTGCAGGGAATAAGCTTTTACCCATCCCCAAAACAAGCAAACAATCACCAGCACATATGCAAAAGATTGACATTTAGGCAATTGAACAAAATCCATTTGTAAATTCAGAAATGGTCCCAAAGGTCTGGTTGCCGAAACTGTCTTTACAGGTCTACCCTTGTTGTGGGCTTGGCAGACAGGGCAAGCCAGACAATAATCCTTGGCTGCTTGGGAGAATTTGGGAGCAAACCAATTTTGTTTTACCTTTGCCAACGTACGACAATCCATGGAGCACGGAGGCAAGGTGAGGTAGCAAGACCACTGGGGCAACAATGTGGCCATCAGAGCTGCACCAGTAGTGGTCTGGGTGCAAGGTGCACCCTGCCAGTCTCCACTCCTGCTTTTTCGACTCTGGGCTTGGTCTTGCAGGAGGGCCAGTTCTGAAAGAGATGGCAAAGGAGCTGGCAATCATAGGAGAGAAGGGAAAAAACAGCAGGTAGAGGAGCAGATTCCACTACGTTCCAGACAGTACAACCTGCAGAGCCTGTTACCAAAACTCCACTAAAATTATAGAAGCAAAAAGCCATTTGTGTAAAGCACAAAGTTAAGATTATTTAAGGGACTTAAATTATTTTTTCATTAAAACAACCATGTTGTACACACAACAATGTTTGAAATACATATATCACAATTAGGACACACGACAACTTTGGATAGAACACAGAACACAAACTTATTGTGTTATGACACAGAACCATGGTTCTTCTTCACTTGCTTTTTAGCAGACATAAGCGCTTTTTGATGATCTGAAAGACAAAGAAAACACTTCTACCCACATTGGGGTGGTGCATTATATTTTAGAATACTTTTTCTTTACAGATTTTCTTTGTTAGTTTTGCTCAGCCTGCTGTTACCCAATGGTATGCTTTTGTTTTGCACACCAGCTTCAGAGGGTTTAAGTAAATTACTTTATTGTTCAATTATTAAGTTAAATATGACATGCCTCAGTTTCCCTTTTATACTGCAGAGCAGACTTTTTTTTCCTAATGTGTGAAGCTTCAAATGATTTACTGCTACAGAAACTTTTTCTTAGAACAAGGTGCTTGCTAGTTACTATTCCAGCAAGAAAAAAAGGTGGTTGTTGGTGTTTTTTTTTTCCTGAAAAGAATCATATACAATGTTACAGGCTTACTTATGGGGGACAGTGCCCCCCCCTTTTCCAGAACAGACAGGCAGTTTGCAGACACACACAACTTTGGATCTGAAAGCAAGCCAAAAGTGCTATCAGCTCAGCCTTAAACAGAAACACCCTGAAGTTTCTGGGCTTGGATTTTTAAAACAACAATGTTTCCTTGGAAGATAAATTTAACCCTTAGGATGCATGTTTTACAAATGTACAATGTATAGATTTCATTCTTATGTACAATTAACCAGTTAAGTTCCAGTAAAATTTCTTATTTCTTTTTAATCGATTTAAGAAAGTGTCTGTAGCCAAATGTTTAAACTTGATTGTTTCTTTGCCTAGATGATTAAAAGAGGCTACAAGAAACAAGGAATCATTTTAAAGCAGGGTTCCTTTTACATATTACAATAATTGCTTAATTCCATCCACTCTCCCACAGAGTCACTTCACATATCCTTTAATCACTTGCTTAGTTCTTCCAAAGAAAACGTTCCTCATTCCCAGTGACTTTTTAATGTTTGCTCTACTTTCCTTATTCCTTTCACTATGCCTATAGGGTTACAAACTTCTTGCCTTCCCCTTTCACATGCTTTTTCCTTCTTATGGTCCATCCATTTCTGCTAAATGATGTCTTCCAATGACACAGGTTTGTCCAGTATTAATTTGGTAAGGAGTGTGGACTTTCCAATTAGCCCCCATGCCTCCTAATTCCTTTTAGTAGGTAAATCTGAATGTTTAGTATTGCAGTCAGCTATCACTAATTTTAAACCTGTTAGTGTAGGGTTTTCATAACATTTATGCTGCAGCAGTTGATTTATACTGCTGACTCTGGGGTGGATTACTCGCCCGTGCTCTGTAAGGAGATTTATGTTGCAGGATGTGTCTTCTTGTTAGGGAAATTTGTTACAATGTTCATTCCTTTCAGTTATTTTTCGTGTTTCCTCTTTATCTGTGTATGCGTCATAAAGGGGGGGAGGGGGATATTGTGCCGAATTCTCCCCCACCCAAGCTTGGTTGCGCACTCCACCCCCCCCCCCCCCCCCAAGCTTGGTTGATACGGGTGTGCCAACTAAGAAATCCTTTTTTCCTACTTCTTGTGCATTATTTTTGGCACAGAGGCGCTGCAGCTCTCACTGCAGGGTGGATTTTTTTGCTTTTTTCTGAGCTTCAATTTCATCCCTCAGGGCTTTAATTTTTCTCTTTTCCAATTTGTTAAATGCTTACAGGTCCTTGATGCAGGGATCAGGTCACCGAGCAAAGCTCCTCAAAACCGGAGGATGCGTGCTGCATTGCATCAGAGTCCGATCCTGCACCGGAGAGTCAGACGGGTCCCATCTGGGTCGCCAAATTTGTCAGGGACTCTAGCCCAGACTGCTCAGTTCGTTGTCTGACCGCAAAGAGACAGGCAACACCAGCAAAGTCCAATCACAAGCTCTTTATTGAAGAGTGCACACAACAATAGAGAGCGGCCCGTCTCCAAAGAGAACCAGCCCCGATTTTAGTAACAGGTAGGCTTATATAGACAGTTCTGTTGCGTCATAAGCTCTTCACTCAAGCCACTTACCCCCCCTTTCTAGAAACTTTTAATATCTATGCATATCTTAGCCAACCATACATTGTGGCCAGAAGCGCTTCATAATGCATCTACTACTTTCTTATCAATCACAAAAGACAGGTACCAGAAACAAGGAGACAAGGAAGTTGAGCACAAACAAAGGGCAAAAATAGGGAGGTAAGATTAGCGAAGGGGAACAGAAACAGGGAGTTACTTACCAGTTCCCAAAGCAAGCTGTTCTACTTATAGTAGGTACAAATATGTAATTTATCACTTATCTTACTTTTATAACCTAAGCCAACATGGAGGGTGCGCCTCTGTTTGAACCACACTCCTGGTTCTGGTCAAGAATACTCAGAGGCCTATGAAATTAGCCCTTGTTAACTTTCCTTAGCATAATGTTGACCAGGCCTTGTTTTTTCTGGGCCCAACAGTTGCTTGGGCAAATAGTCTATGACGCGACAGAACTGTCTATATAAGCCTACCTGTTACTAAAATCGGGGCTGGTTCTCTTTGGAGACGGGCTTGGTCAGACAACGAACAGAGGCCGTCTGGGTTCGAGTCCCCGACAAATTTGTCACCCCAGATGGGACCCGTCTGACTCTCCGGTGCAGAGGATCGGACTCCGAAGCAACGCAGTGCGCATCCTCCGGTTTTGAGTAGCTTTGCCTGGTGGCCTGATCCCTGTTTCGTCAATAAGGCGTGTCCTGTGAACCAGCTGAGGCCTGCAGAAATCCAGCAACATCACCTACCCATTATGTAGGGTCCAGGTCTTCGGGGTTAGAGTCCCTGGAGAGGTAAGCGAGCGCTCAGTATTGAGAAATTGGGTTAAGATTCCTTTGACTGGTAAATATGGGACAGGGCGGCAGTAAGTGCCCGGGGGACGCCCCATTGTCCCTGATCCTGAGAGATTGGAAGGACATTTCTGGAACGACCGGTCTAGTAGAATCTAAAATGAAGGAGTTGTGTCAAACGCAATGGCCTTCACTCACTGCTAATTTGTCCCCGGATAATGATTGGCCAGACTGCGGGATGTTTTCTGTAGAAAGAATGAATGTCCTGAGGGACATATTGGTCAATCTTAGACCCGGACAAATGGATTATTTATTTGTATGGTATAATTATAAACCAAAGGAATTCGAAATGGCTCTGCAGGCTGTGTGTGTGGAGAAATCTGTTAAACCACCCCCGCCCTATGCCCCGGAAACCCAACCAAAGAATGATGAATACTTTCCTATAGGAATGCCACGAAGGGTAAGCCTAAGATTACATGGGGAGGCTGGGAAGGTAACAACAGAGGGGATGAAAAATGATCTAGGGACGGCCTCCCTAGTTCAGGGGGAGCCCACTGGGAACTTTATATCAGCTTTTGGGAAGTTACCAGGGTCTCCGGAAGCACACCTGGCTCCTCTACGAGCTTACCCGGTTCCCCAGAATAATGGATCGTTCACGATAGCGTATACCCATGTTCCGTTTATGGCAGCTGATTTGTTACATTGGCGGCGTTCCACGCTACGACTCCGGGATAACCTGGAGGAGGTGGAAAGAACGTTTCGTACTATCTTTTCCACCCACTTGCCAACTTGGACTGATGTAAACCAATTGCTGGATACTCTCCTCACCGAGGATGAGAAGCAAAAGGTTAAGGAAAAGGCTAGGACATACTACGAGACTCAGAATTGGGGAAACATGCCCACTGCTGAGCCCAACTGGGATCCAAATGTGGATGGGGGTAAGATTAATTTAACCCGTTACCGACAGGCTATTTTGCATGGATTGAAGGCAGCGGAAGAGGTTACCCTCAACTGGAGCAAGGTTACTGCATGTGTCCAATTCCCTAATGAACACCCCTCCGACTTTTGTACGCGACTGACTACTGAGATCAGGAAACATAGCACTCTGGATCCTGACTCGGAGTCTGGCAAAGAAATGATAACGACGGTTTTCATGGCACAGTGTGCAGAGGATATTGCGAAAAGGTTTAGGGAACACCCGGACGGGATGCAAGGGAAGAGTTTACCTGAAGTACAGGCAGTCCCCGAGTTACGTGGATCCGACTTATGTCAGATCCGCACTTACGAATGAGGCTTTTCTCGCCCTGGAACTCGCGGGTGGCGGGACCACCCAGCAGACCAGGGATACCCCGAGCAGACCAGGGACACCCGGAGCACCGGGCTTCATTTGCATAAGCGGGGGGGCGCCGCCTTTTTAACCCTCCCC